CGTCGTTGAACTGGCGTTAACACGTATATCAATCAAACATTTTAAGAAATCACCAACAAAATTACAAGATCCACAAAGATCGAATATGAGTATTATGTTCTTACAGAGTTCCAACATTGAGAATGGAGAGCTAGACGAAGTAGAACTAGCCAAGTCACGAGGATCGACAAAATCTATATTTACAGCCACGTTGAACTTTCCCTTTTTTTTTTAATTATTATCACGCTTCAGTGTAGTAAATCACTAATCTTTCTCAGACGAAGCACCGTACTTAGTAAGTTTGGTCAGCAAATAGGCCATGGCAACCTTGGTACCTAAGCTCGAATGTCCTCTTGAGAGACAGATGGCACCACCAAGAACAACTAAACCATTTGCAATCAACTTACTCGAAGGCCATCTCTTGAGTTTCCTCGTTTTGGACCAGCAAGCTGCTTTTGAGTTTTCTGGATTATCCGTGCTGGTCTTATCGTTCATGACTTCAAACTGAGGTGGGACCTATGCAAAAAATAAGAAAGGTTAAAAAACTATCTAGCTCCAAATTCACAACAAGCACACCTGTTAGAAAAAAATGGGATTCAATATTCCAATTATGTAAGGTTTGTCCAAATCCTTTCTAGCTTGAAATCACCCACAAATCAAGAGGTGAGTTGAAATCCACTTATTAGTTAATATTGCCAAGACTAAGGTTTCCATTTTTACAATCGACCAAGTTTTACACTTAACAGGATTTGATATTCCTTGTTGATGAGTCTACTAGTTGGTGTCAAAGATATGCTCCTTGTCCTTTATAAGTTCAAGATCTGAGAGAAGGAAAATATTTGATTGGAAACAGAATGAGGAGTTCATGTGGAATATGTTCACAGATGTTGGAACTTTTTTTATGCTACATTTGGTCAGCAGAAAAATAATCTGCCAAAACTTTGGCTCTTTTGAGTTGACATAAAAAAATTTCCACAACTGCTGACTGTAAATGCTCGCACCTTTTGAATAGACAAGCTGGCACTGGAGACTGAACTTAGTTGATGCTGCCTTGTTGTAGAGTATTTGCGAAGGGCATCATCCATCTTGCGCACGTAACTCCATATCCCTTTTGCAAAGGCTACTTTTGCCATTTCCACATTTAGACCGGCGTCTTCTTGGTGCACCATTTTGATCTCACAGGCATTTCTACCAGGAACTGCAAAATAAGAACCCAGTCTTGAGGAATATTCCAAATGCTCACTTATAACCTCAAACAACAGCCAACAATACACTACTACAATAGCAGACGAAGTCTGAAGCTCCTATGTGCCGGTGTGCGGTCAGATTTACCAAAGAAACATTTCTTCTGCAAAAACCATCTTAGGGAAGTTGATGCACAAAAAGATTGCATAATTGGCTTAAGATCCCTACACGTTCACTTTATTGTTTAGGATCTGATCAACCGAAACTCGTATGTTCTTAATAACAGCCATATAAGAATCTTATCTTACATTATTTATATTTGATCATTTTTTTTTTGCTATTAATTTAAAATAGACTGCTCGTTATTAAAACAAAGCAATGTCTGTAAAGTTACACAACTGTTGAAAAAGAATTGAGAAAATATTCCCACAAGAAGCCCTAGATTGCTACAATTTATTTTAGTTACGTAACTTCTTTTTGCATAGTTTTGTTGTCAAGCATATAATCCAACATACTAAATTAGAAAGAGTGAAAATGGAATCACAAACATATTACGCAACTAAAACATGAAGAAATAGACAGACTGACCGTAAAGCTTTAACGTCTTTCAGAGGGAAAAGAAGATGCACGTATCCATGTGTGAATAAAAATTTAATAATCATAAGTGTTTCATGTAGCATTCAGTTGGATGAGCTAATTGGTATAAATGAATTATAGAGGTGAGTCGGTTACCTACCTTTCCTAATTCTCCAACCAGATCTAAAAACTGCTACTCTTACGTAACGCTTCTCGTGAGGAGCCAAAGGATGTTCGCATTCCTTTAAAGATCACAAATACAAATATCAGTGTCAGAATTGGGTAGAAGCCCAGAGCAAACATATGAAGTCTCGAATTCAGCAAAGCTATGTTACAGTAGGAACTATCTAAAGCATGATGATCAAATTGAATATTATCTGTGAAATGCAATCAATTATACTATTAGTCGAAAATTCCAAAAGCCCGAGGACTGCATGTCAGAACCTTTGATATTAAACTAACATTAATGAACACACTACCCAGATGCACACAAACTCTTAGCAGATTGTATGTGATATAAAGCCACATAATCATCATCTTTCTTCAGCATGTTCATAAATCCATATCAGTTTTCAGCTTGATAAATCTACAATATGTTGACAAAAGCTCGAAGCTTGTTATACAACATTCAATTGTGTTTCTCTACTCTGATTATTCAAACCCACTTGATATCACCACTCGCTAAAACTGAGCTCTATGCCACAGGTACCAAATAACCATGTTATCAACCAAATGAACATTCTCGATTTTATCATCATACAAATTCCTAAACCGTGAGAATGCAACGATATTTGAAAGGGAAGGCAGAAAAATGTGTGTACCGAGACATGAGGATTTGAAATGCACCTTACTAAAGCAGTAAAAGGATCCATCGAGTCCCCGCCAGATTCTCCAAGCCAGTACGTAATCTCTGGGCGTTAAGAACAGAAACTTTTTAATCGTCCGGCCAAATTCAGTGCAGGAGTCACTATCCATCTGCAGCTGCTGATAATGAACCACAGTCTTATCCCACTGCACCCTGTAACTATTATCCATGTAAAAATTCAACAGTGCCTCGACCGAGCAATTCTCAAAGACAGTCGTGCTCAGGTACTTCAGCGGCCCATCCTGCAAAACCACAGAAGGTTTATCTAGCAATACCCTGGGCAATGAAGGAAGCAAAAGCCACTCAGATAGCTAAAGTTTCAAATAGACCAAAGCAAATCATACCTTAGGTTTGCAGCACTTGGCCTTGTATGAAATAAGATTGTTACTCTTGTCGATGACGTTTTCCCAAACTACGCCACCGCCGCCGTCCGGATTATTCTCTTCGAGATCGTTAATGAGATTCTCCAAATCCAAATCGGTGATAATTCCAGGTGCTCTGACGGAACCAAATTACGATAGATAAATAATTAACATAAAACGGAAAAAAGGGATGAGAGTGAGAGAGAGAGAGAGCTACCGGAGAGAGGGAAGAACATCATCGTCTTCCTTAGGTTTGACGGAAACTGAAACAGAAGGCGTCCGGCGAAAGACGGAGCGGAAGCGAGAAGAGACCAAACGGAGGGTGAATATGAGAAGTACGGCGGCGAGGCTCCATGACCACGGCCATGACGACCCTTCTCCGGCCATCGTTTTGGTCTCTCTCCAGAATTCCTCTACAGTCTGCGCCACCGCCATAATGGATCTCAATCCACCACTCATAAGATACTATGGCCGATTGTTTCCCGACCACAGCCACTCTGTGAATTTATACGCCGTCGCTCTCGTTTTCAAAACCCCAACCACACAACACACGCAAAAAGCCAAATATAAATAAAATGAAAAAAAAAAAAAAAAATGAACATGTGGATTTAAATTTTCATTTACTTTTTTTATTAAAAAATTATTTATTTATCTCAATTATTTTTTTCCTTATTTTTTATATTTTTTATTATAAGAATAATTGTTGCTTTATATTTTTATATAAAATTTATATTTTATGCACTTACATATTTATAATTATTAATTATTATTTTACTATTTTCTATATATTACAACTCATAATATAAAATATCAGCAGAGCACATTTTTTTACATAAAGTAGACGGAAAATATTAGAAAATAACATTATATAGATATTAACATTATATTAGAATAATTTGTGTACATATTAATTACCTTTAATACGAGTTGCTCGTGAGCTCGACAAACTCACTTAAAGTCGTTTCGTTAACGAGTCGAGCTCGACACAGTTTCGATAATGTTCAAAAAGAGAAATTGATCTAATTTTCTATAATTCAACTTGTTAAAAATCGAGATCGGCTCTTTTGCGCTAAAACTCAGCTCGTTACTATTGATAAACGAACCGAACTTAAACTCAATTTTTGGCTCGTATACTTGAAGAGCCGAGCTCTATTTACAGCTCTCCACATAGGGCCCGGATTTACAAACTTTCCCAACAACATTAAATTTATCTTTGGCGCTTCAATAGATTTTCAGACGTGTGGTTATCATTTATCTAAGTTCTACGGAATAACTATTGAACTTTTGTACGTTCTTTCCAGTTTCAGTCAAGTGTTCAGTTACCATAAAAAAACATAACATTTTTTGGTTTATATCATTAATATGATATGATATGATCATTCAGAAATTAATATTTAAGGAATGAAATATCATACTCTTGAAAGTATATATAATATACCTGTTAAAAAAAAAAGGTATAAAAATGCATTATTACGATTAGAATTTAGACCCTGCTAAAAAGCAACTTTATGTGATACTAAAAACTGAAATCAGGTAAGAAGAATTCAAAATTATATATCAGTTTCAAAATTATATATCAGTTACTAGTTAAAACATGGTACACAATCTCCTCTGCCAGTCTACCATACAACTTTTCCAAAAAAAAAAAAAAACCTGTAGAAATTGTGTGGTAGTGTAAGTATTGTCCAAATTTCTGTTTGTCCATGAATAATTACTTTGATAAATGCACAAGTGTAAGTAGGAAAAACCGAACGCCTCAAAAATCTATCCGAGGCTCGGAAGACGACGTGCTATTGCTCAACTCGGCGCCGCTCGTTTCGAATGGTAAAAGCCAAACACACAATCCGGATAGAAAAACAACAGTCTCGAATAGTAAAATGGCTACCATCTGATGGCATCCATGGACGAGACTAACTGCAACAAGTGGACACACCATTCCTCCGATTCTGCCGACCGAGCTTGCAACTCCAACCCCAGTTGTCCGCACAGATGTCGGATATATCTACATTTATTTAATCGGCAATCAAAAAACCAAAGGTTATATAGTTGCAACTCAGACATATTTTGGCTATGTTGGTAAGCAAAGAAGCTAACTTATACTGTAGCTTATTTGGTTAGTTTATAAACTTCATGTATTTACATAAGCTTCGCTTGGTAGGACGACCTTTTTTAAAAAGATCGAGTTTATCTCATAAACTTCTTTAGGTAGCTTTTCAAATAAGCTCGATGAAAATTTTATTTCAGCTAGCTTAGCTAATATTACCAAACACTCTTGCATAACTAACTTTTTAGCTATAAGTTATAAGCTATAAACTATAAGCTCGAAAATTACTTATAAGCTATAAGCTAGCTTATTGGCTAGCAGCTAATTTCAATAGTCATAAGCCTTATGGGTAACTTTTCAAATAAACTCGTTGAAAATTTTATTTCAACGCTAAATTTTAACGAACACTTTTATCATATAAACTATAAGCTTAAGCTACCTTATCCGCTATTGACACATAAGTGAGCCTCATGATTCCCTTTTTATGTTTTTACCTCGGGAGCATATATATAAACGATCGTGAAGGTTCCGGTGATACAAATGCGAGCACCGAACAGAAGGCCTGTTGTCAAGCTCTGAGGCTGGTTAAATGTTAGTGGGAGCAGAATAATGAAACAGAGGAAGAACATTCCAGCCATGGACTTTTTACGGCCAAGTTTGTCGACCGTTGCAGCCGATAGGATGAGCCCAGGAAACTCTTGAACCAAATAAATAATCAGTCCCATTAAGAAGAAGAAGAAGAAGAAGAAAAAGTACAACAAATCTAATATTTTACCTGCAAAGCTGGTAATGAACACATCTTTGTAACTAACTTCTTGATGTACATTACCGGAAGGTGACTCTTTATGAGTGCACGTCCCGTGATTGCTGTTCAACTCAGTGGTCAACAAAACGAGCCCGTAATAAGCGAACGCGTTACCGAAAAAGACCATCCACAAAAGTAATGTCGATCTAATCAGTTCAGGCGAAAGAAGCACTGCGAGCAATGTGATTCCGCTTTTCGGGGAATAATCTGTGCTTTTATTAGGACTTGTGCTGCCGTTGTTTTCTCTGGGTGGAATCAGCTTTGCATCTTCTGAAAGATCTGACTTTTCTTCTAGCTCGATGCTGTTTTCTGAAAGATCTGACTTTTCTTCTAGCTCGATGCTGTTTTCAGAAACTAGGATGCCCGGAGGAAGTTTTTTACCGTTTAGTCGTGCTATTTTCTCCAGTATGGCCAGTGCTTCATCTTTTCTTCCCTTGGTGCATAAGTATCTGGGTGACTCGGGAGTCATTCTATAGAATAAAAGCAATAGTGAGGATGGAAGAGCAGAAATTGCAAGCAACCATCTCCAACCTAAACTGGGCATCACAAACTGCAAGGGGAAAAAAATGGTACGAATGAACAAACTCAATGAATATGGAGACGACAACTGATCTTTCAGCTGCAAATATCCAGTCTCACATATTAAATTTTAAAGTTTGTAGACTTCTAGAATTAGAGACAGATTAGAAAGATTTAACTATGAACAATTGGACAAGGATACAGTATTCAAGCTTAGGTTGTCGATAAGGTGATCAAAATTTCGAGAGGGGGGCTTAAGAGTAGATTTCAAGAGAAATCCATATATTTTCATGGATAAAGTTCAAATAATCAGAGAAAGGGGCAAAAAATTCTATAAGCTAGAATTTGAAGATGATGGCATTCACTGGATGAAACTAAGAGACAACAAATATGAACACACCAAAGCATAGCATGCTGCTTGAATTTTCAACCATTTAGGTAATTTTGAAAACACAATAATAATTGCTGAACAATGCTGAGTGCATGCTTGGATACAATTTTTTCCAACAAAATCCGTTCATTTTTAAACAATCACTTTTTTGTAACTCAAATGTAATTCAACTTTAACTCAACCCCACTATCCTCAATGGTATCAGTATAATTACAGAATACCACTCAATCATTCTTACACATTACATCAACTTTAATTCACTATTCATCCACTCACATGATTTTAACTATCACTTTACACCATCTCTCTTCTAATTTTACATCAAATCAACTTTAATTATTTTATTTAAATATTATTTTAATATAAACTCAAAATCTCACTAGCAACTACCACTTTTTTTTCAAAATTAACTATACCAAACCAAAAAAATTTAAACAAAATCAGAACGTCTTATATCCATCCAAGCATCCCAAGGCTTCGGAAAGAGAATCCTGAATCAAGACCCACAGACAGAATAGACAGCAAATTTTATTACACTAGCAAACTTAACCATCTGAAAGCAGGGAGAAACTCTTCACAGCATTAATAATCATATATATTATCCCAATTGCCAATCATATAAATAATCAGGTTTTGTGTTAATTTAATATTCTCTCCTCCAGTCTCTCCCTTCTACAATCAATGAGTTACCTATATGTGCCTTGTAAAACTATTACTAAGCATCCTAAACCAGCTTTTTCTTGTTAGCATAATAAGTTGATGATGCTTCCTCATATTTGATCAAATTTAGCAGCTGAAGCATCTTCTACTATTAATATGTTTTTCACCAGGAAATGAAAGTTATCAGTACAAGAAAAGTGACCACTTACTGATATCCAGAATTTGACCTAAGCAATAAGAAAATAACTTATATATATATATATATATATGGCAGGCATACCCAAGCAATAGAAGCTTCAAGAATTGTCCCAAGAGTCCAGAAAGCTGAAAAAACGACCATCCAAGTGCCTCTATCGGGAGCAGGAATAAATTCAAGAAACCAGGAGGAAAGCACAGGACCTCCTCCTAATCCAAGACCAACCAATCCACGTAGAGTGATCAGCAAAGCAAGATTCGGGGAAAATGCACTTAGAACTCCAGCCATAGCCGTAATGGATGCTGTCACAAAAAATCCTTTCCTGAATAAAAATTAGTAATTTGAACTAAACAGAAACCTAATAAAATTATAAAACAAGTTCAGAACAGCAGGAGCACCATAGCAATGTGCCAATAAGATAAGTACTCTATTGGGACTTTGGTAAAACGAAAACAAGAATCAATATTTTGGATCCCGACATAAATTACCTCAGTTTCCTTCTTTCAAAGAGAATCTTAAAACTCTATGCATTTATTTACCTACTCGCTAACTCGAAGCATTAAAACATACGACGGAATTAAACTTATAACGATAACAATTTCTCTAGTCCACAAAGGTGGGACCAGGTTACTTGATCTCCAACTGATGTATTACGCTTCCGCCTTCCTCTTCAGACCTTCGAATTTATTCGATTGCAGATCATGCCGAAGAAAAACACAACAAATTAAAGAGCCATGAACAAATCCATCACAAGGTGCAATATATGAACCAATGAGAGCAAGTGACTATATGAACAAAAGCTATACTAAATCCTTTAGGTGGAGAGGTAGTAGCTAAAGAATCCATTCTTCAATCTAACATAAATGATGGATAGACAATCAGAACATCTTACAGCAAAACACACACACACACACACCATATGTCAAAATGAACACAAAAATGTACGGAAAACAGAGCGATAGTGTCTACCTTCTTCCGTATGTGTCCGAAACGATGCCCCAGGAGTAGGCGCCGACCAACATTCCGGCGAAGACGACGCTGGTTATCAGGCCCTCCTGGTGAGGCGAGAGGCCCCACGCGGACTGCACAGCAGGGCCCACAAAGGAGAGAAGCATCATTTCCATGGCTTCTGAAACCCCACCCATGCCGGCGTAGAGAAGGACGGAGACCTGGAAATTCCCAAAACCCAGGGCGATGAGTGCTTCATCGACGGTGTAGGTTTTGTCTTCACCTTCCATCTATATAGTTTGCCGACGACAAAGCTGCAAGGACAAGCTTTTTGGTGAAGAAAAATCTCGAGCTCGATTGGGCATCTAAAAAAAAATGAAGATGGTGTGCGATTGGCAGGGTTGCAGGTGGAGGTAGGTGGATCGGAGATGGGAATGAACGAGACCTGGTAAACACGATGACTCAGTTTAACGGGTTGGGTCGGGTTGAGACGATTTGAACCGCAAATCAAGCGGAGCTGCAAATTGTCGGCGTTCAACCATATCGATTCCGACTTGGTGGGAACAAGCTCAAGCCGATCGAGTCAACGTTCAAACTCGAATCCCTTTTTTTTTTAATTCTATTTTTTATTATGTTTTTTTTTTCTTCGGAAATGATAGACTTTAAATTAATAAAAATATATGTACAGTGGGAAATTAACAACTACATAAAATACGTTCAAATAGAGTTTTTTTTTTTTTTTTTTTTNATAATTGTGGTTAATTTTTATTTAAAAAAAAAAAACTGTATGATTAGTTGTTATAAAAATTGGTTTCCACTCTCTTTTAGGGCAATTATATACATTTAGATTAACTAATTAATTAATTGTGATTATTTTTAACTATTTTATTAGATAATAATATTATTAAAACTAACTAAATATTTTACATTAAATAATATATAAAAGTTACAAAAACATAAAAAATATATTGTAAACTTTTTTGTTCAATTTTTTATTCTAAAAATAATATTATAATTTTATTATCTCATTATTTTTTAAGAAACTAATTGGTGTAAATGGTATAGCCAAACCCCTTAAAATAATAAATTTAATATTTTTTTTCAACTTAATAATTGATCATGATCCCTCAAAATTATAAAAATTACATTATTCATTACATTTTATCAAATCAATTTCATATACAGATAAATAATTTTGGATGTTCAAATTTTTAAAATATATTATCATTAGAATTTATATAATTTTAAATATTATATACATATGTATCTTATAATACTGTATTTATATTTGTACACGTGCACAGAACTGAATACTAACAAACACACCCTAACAGTTCTGCCATTTTTGCTTGCCAGGTGAACGAACTTTCTGTAACATAATCATCCAAAAAGTATGCTTTTAACCTGTTATTTAGAGAGGAAAAACAAAAAACTGAATAACCTCTCTCCATAAAATCCTCACAATGCTCCTTTAGTAGTTTTCAGTCACAGACATCCGAACTCAAATCTTCAACACTTGAATTATCCAACACAAAAAAGTATAATATCTTCATTTATTCTTCTAAAAAAAAGGCTCGACTAATAAAGCAAGCGCGCACAATCATGTTCGACTCAGCGCCTAATCCTCATTCCCTTGCTCAGGCTGTTCAGGCTGGCCATCATCTCCAGATCCATAATTGACCCATGGCAACACAGACTCCAATAGAACAGCAAGCACATTTCTGTTAGACACATCACGAACCAAATGGTTATCCTGAACCTGCTCGCGCTGCTCAACTCCACCCCTTGGGTGGACAATAAAGTCCTGCAAGTTATCCGGAGGCATTGTCGGCACAGAATCCGAAAAATCCGACACCAACAAATGGGAGTACCTGCAGAGGATAACTAGAGTTAATTTTAAAATAATGTGGTATGTTAATTGTAGTGGGATTTTGAATTTATTTTAAAATATTATTTAAAATAATATGATTTAAATTTGATTTGATGTAAAATAGGAGAGATATAATGTGAAGTGATGGTTAATTAAAATTATGTGAGTAGATGAATAGTGAATTAAAGTTGATGTGGTGTGTAAAAAAATGATTGGTATTATTTAATTATATTGATAATATTGAGGATAGTATGATTGAGTTAAAGTTGAGTTAGGTTTTGAATATTAATTGAGTGTGAATTGAGATATACAAACACACCCTAAATTAGTGCAAATAATTCTCAAAATTTGGTGTTAGGCCATTTGACATGAGTGTGCTTCGATACGTACTCATTTTTTTCGGACGAAAAAGCCTCTTTCCTCACGCAAGCCCAATCCTTGACACATTCCGCTTGCTTTTCCACCATCTCCATAACTGAAACCGCCGAGTCGTACAAAAGCTTCTGCATATCAGGAAGCCTCCACAACAAGTAACTCCTCTCGACATATATTGCGATCAAGTGGGATAAAGATGGGCTTCCTGTTTTCTCTGACCTGAAAAATTTGTGCTCGATCAGAGCTGTCCATTTTCGATCCTTTAAAGGCACTTTCACCGCCAGTTTCTTCAACACTGAAGGATGAAGCATTAAAGCCTGCTTCATTAGCTCGTACGAATTGGCCTTTCCCATAACACCCTTCTTGTTGGGGTCCGAGTCTGACTGCTTCTCATCTCGTTCGAGATAAAACCGGCAAGCCGCGAGAGAAAACGAAAAATTAGGAAATAGCCACAGGGAGTTATCGGAATTATATTCATCTGCAAACAGTTCGAGCCAAGCGTATTCCTCGGCCCTCAACGAGTAGTAGTCAATACAAAGCATGGCCCCCACAGGATCATCCGAGTCGAGAGAAAGCAAGAGCTTGCAAATCTCAAGGGCGGACCTGTGGCAGCCACGCCTGTCCATGTTTTTCATGTGGGTGATAAGAGACGTGAAGAGCGGCTTGTTCGTCTCGTGGGAGTACTTTAACTGGCAGTTCTTGGATGGGGTGAAGAGTGGGTGCCACGCGCATTCTAAGGCGTACAGACATTTCCCGATGGAATCGGCTGACATTTGGTGTTCGCCAATGAATTTGAAGTAATCGGCGAGTGTCAACAGGGATTCTGTGTGGTATGGGTGATTCAACAGAATGCTTCCGATGGCGTTGAGATCGTGAGATGCCCTGGCAGCTTCGAAAACTCGTTGGGCTTGGGCGTATGATGATGACTGTACGTATCTATGTCAGACATTAAAAAAGAAAGCAAATCAAAGCAATAATATTTTAGTGTTCGTGTTTCATAGCAGGGAAAACATAAAAAATAAAAATAAAAACTCTACGAAAAGGAATTAAGTCAGAAATTGGCATATGATGATGACTGTACTCATCTATGTCGACATTAAAAAAGAAAGAAAGCAAAGCAATTAATGAAATATCAGTGTTCCTGTTTCATAGCAGGAAAAAAAAACAATAAAAACTCTACGAAAAAGAATCAAATCAGAAAATTGGCATATGATGATGACTGTACGTATCATCTATGTCGACATTAAAAAGAAAAGAAAGTAAAGCAATTAATGAAATATTTTTAGTGTTCGTGTTTCATAGCAGGAAAAAAAAAAAAGCAAAATAAAAACTCTACGAAAAAAGAATTGAATCAGAAAATTACTTGAAATAGTGGACACCGTCTTTAGTCTCCAGAAGTTCCATGCTTAAAGATCCATCCCAACGTGGCCAGTGCTGAGATGGAGAAACAAGGATAGTTCTTTTGAGAATATGTCGACCACCACGTACTTGCCTTGAGTTCGCAGACACATTACTTCTTTCATGTGTTTTTACGACTGAATTACCGAATATCCGCCGTAGCTCGTTTTCTGCACTGAGGAACTTGGGGTCAACTTGTAACACGGAGCTGTTGTTCTGCTTCTTCAGCACTTTGTCGTTATCTGTGCTTGACTTCTTCAGCTTATTAGCACTATTAGGAGGATAACCAGAAGAACTAGCTTCCAAGGATAAGGTTTCTAGCGTAAAATCAGACGGGATATGAGAACGGTCTTCTCCATTTTTTTTCTTCTTCTTCTTATTCTTCTTTGATTTGGCATTCGGCACCTGAGCCCTGTTAGAACCTTTTTCCATGGTGGAAGGCTTGCTGGAAATAGCACGATCTGAAGTCCCAAATGCAGTCTCTTCTTTTTCCGGCTGAAATGAGCAACCAGTAAGAAAAACATATTTAACATGAACAGCTAATTTCAACCACATAGATTTAAAGAATCTAATTTGTCTACTGGTAAAACGAACTGAAAAGGAAGTGGTACTTTAACACATCATCAGTTCACGTGGTGAAAATTAAAATCTCAATCTACATATATCAGCAATCGCACCCAAAAAGTATAGTCCAAAAGCGATTGTCACTTTTTCCTTGGTGAACAATTACCCATTCTTATATTAGTAGCATATTTCAATTTTTGAATCAACGTGTATCAGCAACATTAGAAAAAAGTTGTTTAATATTTAACATAGAAAATTAGAAGCAGAAGGTGCAGCAGTTCAATAAACATACTCAAGTACCAAAAGAGTTGTTTAGTATTTAACAATTGACACATTAGTTCTTATAATACGGTCACAGAAAGATACGAGCACGTGGAAATCGGAATACTTATATCCAACCTATGCTCAAGGATTCATTCATGTAAATAAAAAGAAATCACAACGATATGAATAAGGGTTGGAGCAGAGATTGATATGCGCAGGTGGGAGAGACAGGCAGTTTCCAGTGGATAAATGCTTTTATGGAGAGTAAGGACACATATAGACAAGGAGTTCATGTTCGTGTTTGACTAATTTTACTAACTTATTTCAATTGAACTTTGTCACCTCTGTTTTTGCCCTAAGATGCATAGAGAATGGCCTTAGTTTCCTTGCTACTAGTACTCCTATTAAACGACTTCTAACTTACATGTCAAGAGTCACTGTTTCAATAAGAAATTGCATACAAAATAAGACTGAGCATTATTACAACAAAATGGACTGCAGCTTTGGCCTTTATGGTTATACAAATAAGCATGCTGCTAACAGTAATCATCAAGAAAATAACGTCATATAAAGGACTAAGAATAGTTAAGGGGCAACAAGGCTGAAATACACTCTTCCGTACACTATGATTTGATTTTGAGAACTAAAATTGACAAACTGAAGTAGCTTATACATTAGCTACATTTCTTCAACACAAGCACAGAGTCCGAGCTACCCCAACCATAAATAGGTTCTTTCTCATGAGATTTGTGGATTTGGCTGAAATTCTCGTAATTCCTGAGACCCTATATACACTTTCTTAAAAATATTAACCAAATACGGATGTTTTTTCAGCATTATCTGCTCCAATTAAGATTTTTTTAGGCTGCTGTAAGAACCCCTCAATTAAGGAACCATATCTGGAAGCCTTAACCCAGGTGAACGCAAAACTAGTCATGGGCAACTTCAAACATCAGAAGACTGTCATGAACAGCGCGAAGATCACAAAACTCACGATTTAAATCATGTGACAGAAACTGTAGCCGACTAAAAAAGAGGGTAACAATACCTGGTCCAAATGCTCGTGGTTGTGCTCACTGATGCTATTGTCATCCTCATCCTCGAGAAGATCAAAATAATTCCGAGCAGGCGGTGGAGAAACGGATGATTCAGAATCATCTTCACTGACGGGCTGCTGCTGCTGCTGCTGTTGCAGAGCAGCTTCCTGTTCTTTCAGAACTTTCTTCATCATTCGAGCAGACATTGTGCCCAATAACTTAAACAATCTGCTACAAATACATCAAAAAAGTCGCAAATGTGATTGGATGTTTCTTCAATGATAAACCAAATATTTTTCTAGATTCTCCTATCAGTAAGAAAAAGGGTTCTACATATAGATTCATTATATATACATCTATCAGAATAAGTCTTTCAATTTGTTTTATATCACGAAATATTAATAAATCTGCCATGTCCAAAGGCTCATAATTGATCTTCAAATCACACCAAAACTCCAACACGAAGATAAACAACAATACAGAAAAATATCGAGTACCAATGTATTCACATCCGCATGAAACGATTGTTAACAACTCAAGATTAATCGAAACCTAAACCATCAAACAGGGCTTGAATCAAACTCACAGATTTCGTGACGAACTGCTTCAGGTAATCTTTCAGCTCAGAGACTCAATCCAAATCTCACGAGTTCTCTTCGGACAGATATAACGCGTGATGGTTGTTCCTCGAGCAGAAGCAGCTTAGGTTAACATAAAATCCCTCAAACAAGCCTCTTTACAATAAAAATTAACCTTTAAACGAGTTTCGCCAGCTCGCTGTACGTTAGCAGAGCTAATATATTGGGAATTTTTTGGGCGTGTATATGAACCCTAACTATATCGATTATCAACCACGCTCTTTGGTTTTTCTAATTTCTACTATAGTTTTGCATGTGCCTAATTTTCTAACTTTTTTACCCTTTTATTGTTGGGAATCTTTTCTTAAATTGCAAATAAAGCTCAATTTTATGAAATTGACAACAAAATACCAAACTTTTATTACTGCAATTTTGTCCCCGAATTAATTTTCGGCGAAGCCACGCTGACAGTGCAATTTTGTCCCAAAATTAATTTTCGACGAAGCCACGCTGACATGGTTGATCGGAAATTTGACGTGGCATCAGAAATTACAACGTGGCCACTACTCAAGTATGTGGGATTGATAATGCTGAGTGTGTTTGTCTTATTTTTGTTGCTACTTTTTGTATTGGTTTGCTAGTCTTGTTCTCCCGTTTTTATGTATTTTCTTAGAATTTTTGGTCCACCAAGCCGCTTATCGAGTGTTTTATTTCATCTTTCCTTTGTTCTTTTGCCATCTTGTTGTTGGAGGTATGCACATTTAGAACCTTGACCGAGTATCAGGAGTTCAAGCTCATTAGACTTGGCTAGAAACGAAGTGGATGACATGACATTGAATTAACCCAAATACAATACTCACAACCTATTAGAGCATCTTCAATCGAAAAAAATATTCTCAAACTCATTTTGCAGTAATTGTCACATTAAACAGTAATTCATCTTCAACCGACAAACTCATTCTCAAACCCAAAAAAATATTCTCTTTTACATCAACTTTTACAATTTTTCAATACTACCCACATATTTTAAAACTTCACAATTTTTGAACACCATATTATTTTTTATTTGATTTGGAATTTATGTAGTCAAATTAATTATAAAGCTATAATTCATATACACAATTAAATTGGGTAAAAATGTATTTTATTTTACAAAACAGAAGGTAATATAATTTAAAATTTTCAACACTAGTTTCACGATTTATAGATTTTATATATTAATATGTGATATAATCCTATTTATTACTACAAACCACTATATATCTTCTTAATTTTTTGGAACTTTATTATAAACAAATTTGTTACTTCAAAATAATTATTTATTTAAAAATAACTCGTATGTGTACAAATTAATTCATATGTAATGAAATTAATTATTGATATAAAAGTCTTACTTTTCTATACATAAATTACTTTAAAATATTTGTATAAATGATTAAAGATATTACTAGTACAACACACGTGTATTACACGGGTGCTTGTTAAAAAATTATTTTTAAATTTTAAAATTAATGAGAAAACTATATTAAATTTAGTTTAATTTTTAACATAAAAAAAATATATTACTATATATTTTAGAATGATATGTATTATTATGACTTACGTGTGTTATATTATATTAGTTTTTATAACTTATATCATATAACTACTTGAAATATAAATATATAAGTTGATAAATAATTTTATTTTTCTAATTAATATTAAAAATAATTTTATTATTGTTATAAAGATAAATATAAATTATTTTTTTGTACATACAATATGGATGTTCAATCGAAGCTCATCAAAAAAACATTAATTTGATATATTACATATGTAAAATTGATAAAAAAATACAAAAGTTATTAACTCTTAAAATATATATACAATTCAATAGTTATAATAAGGATGATATTAAAATGCAATTAATACATGTAACATGACCATAAATAATAACATATTTATGGTATTCCAGACCTAATTATTTGTGGTTTGGAATTAAATTAAAATTTACCCAAGCCTAATAACGAAGCATGTAATTTTGCCACATAGGATTCTGAAGCACCAGAAGCAGTCACGTAGGCGTAGCGTGTTCTGGATTAATATATAGGGAGATATAAATATTTTCAAGGTTATTGAATTGAATTTATTGACTTTTTTTTTGTAATTACCATCTTTTTTATAACATTCAATATGAATTATTTGAAAATTACTATAAACTATAAAAAAAATAACCTAAAACATATCAAGTATATGTAATAAATGAAATAAATAAATTTATGTATCAATATATAAAAATAAGAATAAAGAAGGACCAAAATGGAATTCCAAAAATATTTTGCAGTAGGGAAAAGTAGAAACGCATATATGCGTTCTTTGCAGAGAGAAAAGGGCCAGACACGCATTTTGTGATTAGAATTGAAGTTCGGTTGGAGCAAAATTTTCATCCCATTATGCACTTGCAGCTCGATTGGAGTTGTTCTTAGGAGGAGATTATGGAATTAATAGTGGATCAACCATCAACCAACCCAAAATAACAATTAAAACAGACTCAAAGGCAAAGTACAAATGAGTGATGTAAGATGAGGGCATGATGGTATTTTTGCATTAAATTGTAATATCTTGGCCCCGTTTGGAAGATAGCGGATTGAAGATAAATTAGCGGATTTGACTTAATTGAGAGGTTTGACCCGTCAAATCCGCTATTGAGCTTGTTTGGTAAATAGCTTATTTGATAAGTTTTTTGGGCCCAAAACTCTAATCTAGAAAAAGCTCATTAGAGGAGCTTTTTGGGATAGAGGATTCACAATCTACCATTTTAATTTGAAACTTTTTAATTTGTATTATTTATTTTACAATTTACATTAGTTTATGATGCTAATAAATAATAATATGTCATCCATATGATTAATTTATCTAGAAAAATGTAAAATTTATAACTTCTTAATCAAGTGTTAGTAAATTTTTAAAAAGAAATAATATATTTATAAATTACCAACTAAATAATATATATTATTATTAAAAGAATACATCCTAAATAATAAAAATGTCCTTATTGGTAATTTGCAATGTCAAACAGCTATAAGCTTTCAGCTATTTACCAAATACTTATTTAAAAACCGCTAATGCGATTCGCTGGTCAAATCAGCTAATATAATCCGCTACCCGCTATCTGCTATCCGCTAATACAATCCGCTTCCGCTATCCGCTATCCGCTGATCGCCAAACAAGACCCTTATCTTCTTCTTATTCTTATTCTTCTTCATCACGCTATTAACGTGCAGTGCAACCAATCACCAACCGCCGTCAATTTCTGTCGAGTCGCCGCATAGCCGGTCGCCCAACCTCTGACGTTGTCCTCAACTGCACAGTCGACCACCCACCTACCTTAGGCCACCGTGCGCTCGCATACCAGAAACATTCTCCGACAATAGGGTTCACATTTGCGCTACTATTGAATGGGTTAACTGATGAATCTGTCAGCAAGTCGAATAATAGTACATGCGCTATGCATGTCGTGAGGGTAGAAGGCGAAGCCCACACTTATTACACTCCACAAGTAGTCGGTGGTACTCATATACTAGGATCAATTTGAGAGTCGAGCTCCCTCTCCGATTTGCAATTCCATCAATTATTCGAGTACCAAAAGTATGACTTAGTTAGACCAATCTTCTAATCGACAGTCCTCTTTTCTAGCGTTGATGGTAGGTTGGGAAGACATTAAAAATGGTAGCCTCACTCTCCAAGAAGAACAAAAGTAAAGGTCCGAGTTGAAGAGAAATGCAACTAAAAGCGACACTAATAAGGTTTTGGAAGTCTTTGATTACGAGTATAGTCAACCAACAATAGCGACAGTCTTGAAGGCGTTTATTAGATGTATATTCGAATTAACATTTGAACCACACAATTGGAGCACTAGTGGTGCACCATTCGAAGTATTTGATTACATGTAAGTGCAGTCATAATCTTGTGACCTGGGTTGGTCTGGTACCTGATCAACTCGAACTAGTCCTGTGGGTTAATGGGGCATTCAACAATGGAACTGTTCAACCGATATTGACATGATATGCAAGATATAGACCCAACCGTGTCAACTTTTTTTTTTTAATCCAGTCTTTATATATATTATTGTTTTAATTTTTTTTAATACTAAACACAAAATTTATGTATATATTTTGTTCGTTCCATTTTTTTCGTATTTTCCTTGTTTATTTTGGATTTATTTTTTCCCATTATAGGTTATTTTCTTTGATTATTGGTCCTATTTGTGTCGTGTCTTGCATTTTCTTTATTTTGTTCGTTTTTAGTTTTTCTTGTTTGTTTTTCCCGTTTTTCTGCGTTTTTCTTGTCGGTGGTGATGTGCAGGATAGGTGGTTCGGTTGTAAAGTGGCCATGCGAGGATAATTATCTAGACGGATGAGTTGGGGTCGAGTGGGAAAAGGCGGACCCAATTCCGAGTCCAATTGCGTGGATACGAGCCCGGAAATCACAGCCATGCCTCACAAATCCTTCACCGCGGCCCGCGACGTTGTTCCCGCGGCCGCGGTGAGCAAATCCAATCGCGCGCCCAGTTTTCTTCGCCGCGGCCGCGGAGTTGAAGGTCGCGGCCGCGAAGAGCTCGAAATTTTTGAACCGGCGGACTGCGTTGAGAAGTCGCGGCCGCGGGAGAAGTCGCGGCCGCGGAGCTCTCCTTCACCGCGGCCCGCGAGCTTGTCCGCGGCCGCGGAGGTTGCGAATTTCAGATTTTTAATAGCTGATTTATTTTGAATCGGGAAGGAATTAGTTTGGATCGGGGTTTCGTTTTTTCTCAGTACTTTTCACCCAAAAACTAAAACTTTCTTTTGGTATTCGATCTTGGAGAGAAAAACTCCAAGATTCGACTTTTGGATTCGGTTTATTCGTGTTCTCGACATTGGATTCATTAATCGTAAGTTTTCATTTCGTTTTCTTATTGATTGAATGGCTTTGATTATTGTGTTTGTTGATGTTGAATGCATAATGAGTAGCTAAATCCATTAGTTAGGGTTAGGGGAAGATCGTTCCAGTTCGATTTCGTTTATATGCATGATAATTGTTCAATCCTCTCGAGTTTTGCTTAGCCTAGGGTTTTGATGTTTGATCACCATCTTAATCTAATTAATCGATTTTAAAACTGAAAAGGGAGAAATCGTTCGATCTAGGCTCGTTAGGAGTAAGCTTGTTCGTAATAGTATTGCTTATGTGTTGATTGTTTCAAGAATTACTCGTTTATGTCTATCCTCTTGTTACGAAAAGTTATTGAGGATAGATCTCTAGATGAGTAGTTTTGTGAGGCATTTAACCGAGCTTTTGATTGCTCGTTAAGTGTATTGAGAACCAGAATTGATTGACCCCGATACCCTAGCTCCTTTATGATTATTTGAGTTTGAGAATTGAGTTGCGAACTTGTGATTCCTAGTTTTGTCTAGCTTTTCCAATTACTTGTTTTTTTTTTTCAATTTGTAGTTGATAAAATTAAACCAAACCTATCGAATTAGAGTGTTTAGGACTTCTTTATTATTTCGTGTGATTGAATATAAGTGTAAAGTAATCCGGCTAACCTTCTTCGTGATACGACCCGGTGTCGAATCTTTCGATTCTACTCCGGTAAAAATATTTACAACATATATTTTATGATGAGATATAATATTAATAATACTTTGAATTGCAAAACTAACATATAAATTATTATCTTGTTGTTACTTTTGTGTATATTTGTGAGATAAAAGTAGTATAAACATGATTTAAAAATTTAAAAATAGATACCCAACTCAATTAACCTATTAACTCGACAATTGAACCGAGAACCTAGAAGCCAATTTGATGAATTGACGGTCCGAGTCCCAAAACATTGGACATAATTCCCTCTAATTATTTTTTAGATTCACCTCAAAACATTGGGGCCAATTCCCTCCATTTTTTTCCCTTAAATATGATAGCATATGTTTAGTGCTTACGATAGTTAATTTATATGTACGAAAAAAAAATATATATATTAATATATAAAGAGGCAATTGTATTTACGTAAAATAATAACTAAAAATTGATAAAAAATTATTGGTTTCCCACCTGGAAATTTAAATTTAGTAAATTGGGTATTTGTTTTGCCAAAATTTAAAATTTCCCGCCTAAATTAATATACACAATGTACATAATTATTTTAGTTAAATATTATTGCGCTGTTATCTTTATTAGTTATATTATTTAAATTTGCAATATAATATATTGAAAAAACTTGCAGCTGTTACCTTTATTAGCTGTGCGGTTTAAATTTGGTATATAATATATTAAAAAATAAAAATAAAAATATTTTTATTTAATATTAAATAAAAAATAATAATTATTCATGACTTAAGGGTCAATATTAACTTGGACGTTAACGAAATAGTCAATTATTTATAATTTAGTAAATTCCTTAATAACTTACGGGTAGATATTAAATTGGACGTAAACAAAATAGTCAATTATTTATAGTTTAATAAATTATTCAACTACTTAATTTTTTTTTTTTGATTTGAATAGTTTATACAAAAGTAAATTATTTTAAATAATTATACAATATAAATTTTATAGTTATACTTATTATTTACATAAGTTGTTAAATATATGATAAAATTTTATCGAAATAACTATTTTATGAATTCACATTATAATCAAATTGAATTTCTGAATAAATTTTTTGAAATGAACTTATTTAGAAATGAATATAATGTAATTTATTATCAGTTATGTATACTGCACGCGTTGTATACTAATTTTAAATAAATATTTTTATGTATTTTTTCACAATTTTAAACTTTATATAATATTTTTAATAAATTAATATAGGTAAATTGTATTATATATTGATCCTATATTTTTAATTTATAAATACTATGTGATAAGAATTTTTAATTTATAAAATTAATAAATATTTTTTACTCGTGCATTGCAATTCACTCATACTAGTTTATCACATGAGTTATTCTCATGTAAAAAAAAAACATGAGTTGGCGGTACACCAAATCTATTTTTTACGTAGGGTTATTCTCTCGCCTCTCTCTACCTCTACCTCTCTGTAAAAAAAAAAAAAAGAAAAAACACCAGATCTAGTCGCCTTCCTCCAGCAAGGGCCTCCGGGCCATCGGGGCGGCGGCTTCTCCGGGCCGTGCGGCCAGCGTTCGAAGGCTTGTTGGATGGGCGGCTTCCTCTTCCCGGGTGAGTTGGCGGATTTGCCCAATTTGGATCTCGCCTCTTTATCGGTCGCCACGAAGGGTTTTGACCGGCGGCTCCTCGGGGTATGAGCAGCGGCATTTTTCCGGTAAGCATTAGTCAGTGGGTTGCGGTTCCGATCATTATTTTGGTAACAAGGGGTGGTCGGGCTAAGATTGGGCCGTTTCGCTTTCATTCCTTCTCCTGTTTTCTCTGCTTTTGGGCTTGTTGGTTTCATTGGCGGAGGTGGGTTGGGGCTGGGTCTTGTGTCCCGGTCTCGGGTCTTCGGGGTTGTGATGGTGGAGCTTGTTTATTGATCTCCGGTCACGGGTGTTGAGGTTGTCCACTCGGGAGGGCCATGGTTTTCAATCTCGAGTCTAGTTAGGCGAATGAGTTTCTGCAGTTTCTGGCTTGCGACTTGGACTGGGTCTTGTCCGTGTGGGTGGTCGGCGTCTAGTTGTGTTCGGTTGGTTACGACTGTTGGCTGGAAGGGCTTTAGTTTTGTTATGTGTCTTTTATTTTTTGTGTATGTTGTTTTGTGTGTGTTGTCTTGTAGTTTGTGTTTTGTTAGTGTTTGTTTGTTATGTTTTGTTTGTGTGATGTGTTTTTGGTTTGGGCTTTTCGCCTCTGTGCGCCCGAGTGTCAATCTGTGCGCCCGAGTTTCACTTTATTACCCTATTGGGATCGGACACTCGGGTATTACTCTGTTGGAGTCTTGTAGTTGTGTTAATTGTTTGTGTTGTTTGTTAGTTTTTTTTATTCTAGCGTTTGCTAGCCGGTATTCTAGGCAGGCTTCTGAAGACCTGTCCTTCCTTTTTTTTTTCGTTTTTTTTCAGCTGTTGGCTGTTGTGTATTCAGTCGTTGGCTGCTGTATATTCGCACATTTGTGCTTTTCGATTTATAATATTTCTATCGTTTCGAGAAAAAAAAAAAAGTTTATCACATGAGTTCAACATTATATTTGATTATTAAAATATTGGTTTTGAATGAAAGTATATGCCGGGACAACTTAACGAGGACTATGCACGTGACAATACAATCCTACGCTCACTCGCAATGCCCAATCTTGCACCGTAGATTCTCTATTATATCGACGGCCATAACCCGCAATCCGAACCCCTCAAAACCAACCAATCACAGAAAATACCCAACAGCCACATGCACAAATCTAGACCGTCCAAATGCTGTTCTTATCAACGGTTTAGAACCACGATCCGCGTCGATTGAAAGCCACCAATCACGTCTCACCGCTTAACTGCCTTATATATTCCAAGCGCATCCCAGCCAAGCACATCATCACTCAAAAAAATCTGTAAAAGAGAGAGAACAGGAAAAGAAAAAATAAAAAAAAGAATCCATGGCGCCGAAAGCAGAGAAGAAGCCCGCCGAGAAGAAACCCGCCGCCGAGAAAGTGCCAGCGGCCGAGAAGGCTCCTGCGGAGAAGAAGCCGAAGGCTGGCAAGAAACTCCCGAAGGAAGGCCCGTCCGAGAAGAGGAAGAAGAGGGCGAAGAGGAGCGTGGAGACGTACAAGATCTACATCTTCAAGGTGCTGAAGCAGGTCCACCCGGACATCGGGATCTCGAGCAAGGCCATGGGCATCATGAACAGCTTCATCAACGACATCTTCGAGAAGATGGCCCAGGAGGCGTCGCGGCTCGCGAGGTACAACAAGAAGCCGACCATCACTTCCCGGGAGATTCAGACCGCCGTGAGGCTTGTGCTTCCCGGCGAGCTTGCCAAGCACGCCGTGTCGGAGGGGACGAAGGCGGTGACTAAATTCACTAGCTCTTGAGCGATTGGTTAGGGTTTCGGATTATCTGTCCTTTGCTTTGCTAGAATCAATGTTTTAGGGGTTTGATTTTGATTAGGCTCGTTGATATGAAATTTGAAGGTGTGTATTTGGTTTCTCAGCTATTAGTGAATGTAAACTCTGTTGGTATTTGACTGTCTATGGTAATATCAAGGTGTTTTGGTTTTCGTTTTTGTTCTCTACTTTGCTTTTGCTGGGAATTTTGATTTTATTAACTTATAAAAGTATAATTTAAAACTGAAGAACAAAATTTTGTGTGTTGTACTCTCAAGTCTCCTAAATCAGGTTTGCAGAGTTTTTAACTGTTCAGTATTTTGCACACGAATATATATGTTGTTAGTGTTATGGGTTTTTTTTTTTTTTTTTT